CGTCATGAATCCTGAACTTTTTTCAACTCCAAAATGGCGATGAAAAACCCGAGGGTCAATCCAAAACCATACATCGAAGAAGTACAAGACCATTATCAAAAGAAAAGAGACAAACAAACAACAGAATAAAAAATTTTCAAAATATTTTCGGAAAGAATATTTAAAGTATTTATAACCTTTGTTTGATTGCTACATTGTAAACAGCAACCCTTTATTAAAAAAGCAAGCTCTAGGAGATAATATAACTGATGGACGAGTATGAATATCTGTGATCATATGTCAGCTTCATTTCCTAGCTCTACATGTTTGGGAGAAGAAAAAAAAGTTCAGTCTTTTCACATTATGTAATATGATTCAAAATAAGGCCCTTAGACATGAAACCCTGAAAACAAAAATGCATTTTTTATATCGTCCATGTACCTTTGAAGTATGTGCCTATAAACCAGGACAGTGCTTCATATGGCTGGAGCAAATGTGTAAGTTCTGATATGGTGACATGCAGTGAAATCAATTGTTGTCAGTATAATGGAATTCTATGCGACTGTCATACAAGTGAGAGGTTTAGCTAGCTATAAAACCAGGTTTAATCCACCATTTTCTACATAAAGAAATGCCTGTACAAAGTCAGGAATATGACAGTTATTTTCCATTCGTTAGATGTGTTTGAGATTTTGACTTTGCCATTTTATAAAGGACTTTCCGTTTTGAATTTCCCTTGGAGTTCGGTATTTTTTTTATTTTACTTTTTGCTGTAAGTATTGACCATTATCATGTTACCCCGGTGATAAATGACTTTATTTTACCAAAACCAGAAATGTTTAGTGCTATATCAGATAATTTTGAGTTATAAATGGTCAACATTTTGGTTTTTTAAAGGCAGAAGGACATAATTTAAGGGATTCCAGAGGCCAAATTTTAAGAAACAGTTTATTCATACTATGTAAATTAAAGTTTCAGAATATTGCATAAAAGTCATATTTTTGCATTTAATTCTTGCACTATATATCTTGAAATTGACAAGGTGATTTTCAGCTTTTTAGTTGCATAAATATGATCAACGTCATAAAAGAATCAGTTTTATTTTTTCAGTAAGTAGTTATTCATCTAATTGTAGAGGTTTGACGTTGGTAATTTGTGTCGTATTAGTTTGTATAACAATAAGATGGATGAAATAAACAAAAAAGAAAATGAAAATAAAACACGATAATATTCTAAGATATTTCAGTACCGAATATGATCCCCTTTTAATAAACAAGTTGTGCTCATGGCGCAGTGAATGTTCAGGCTTTGAGAAATATTTGATTTTCCCTTTGATCGACAACTTATTCAATACTCCAAAAAGGGAACCAATACAACCAATTGACTAGTAAAGCTTCATGTTGTCAATGGAATTTTAATTTGTTAAATACAAAAGATAAAATTAAATAGACGGTACCACATCATCTGTACATCGATGCCAAGTATTGTCCTCGAATGTTACTGTTTTGATTCTGTCGTGTTCCTATAAGAATTAAACGAAATAAACCTTTGTATTCGAAAATGATTATGTACATGCTTATTTCGAAAAAAAATGACGTCTTTTTTGTGGTAGTTTCAAGTACATATTTGGATATTGGTGAATAAAAAAGTGCGTTTTATAATGAACTAACTTGTGTTTTACAATTATATTTGCAAATGCATACCTATATTGTAGCATACAAAAAGAAAGGCTGATATTAAAAGAAGCAACGACAAAAAAGAGTGTTGAAATAAAACTCATATAAACATTTCCATGTTGATATAATTTTAAATTAAATCTGCAACTTAGCAGTTTGCTTGGTCACACAGTTTATGGCACTAAACTGTGTGTTGGAAAAGGCAGCCAACGAATATACTAATTTTCTACAAACTACATATGCAATTATTTCAAGAAAGGATTTCAAGAAACGTATAATCAAAACGTCTCTCGTCGTCCAATAATTTAATACCAGACATACCACAAACAACAAATGTCAATCATAACAATACAGAGTCAGGATATTCTGATTTCGTAGAGCATGTCAATGACATGATAGTATTTAATTTGTGCTACATTCATTACCCCATGAGCTCCAAGAGATTCAGTGGCTCGAGGCAAGGTACAGTCGATTCAGATATTAATCAACTAGGAATGTTATTTTCCCTGTCTACGGTATGTGGTTTTCGCCGGGAATTCCGACTTCCTCCACCAATAAAAACTGGCCGCCGTGATGTTACCAAAAAAGGCAAAGTGTGCTAAAGAGGCGTTAAACACCAACAATCAAACCTAAGCTCCCTGAGATTCAGTAACTGTTCCAAATATTAAGTGTTCGAATGACCTGGTGGTATTTAACTTGTGTTACACCGCTTCCCTCCTAAACTCTTTGAGATTCAAAAGCTTTTTCTCAGAAATTGAGGGTAAAATCACTGGTAATAAATATTTTCATACACATAGCACTTAAATGACCCGATGGTATTTAACTTTCTATACACCCTTTCCCATAAGCTTACTGAGATTCAGTAGCTATTTTCACGATAAATCTTCATTTAGTTGCAGTTTATTAATAAGAATAGGCAATATTCAAATTTCTCCTCATCTGAAACCTTTAAAAGTTTTATATTAATGCAGAATGAGAGACATGATACAAATAATTTTATGGCACCGAAATAACAGCATATTTTGGGGGTTTGAGGAATATTTGACAATCAGTTCTTTTAAACAGCGAAATGTCATATATTTTATCGTTTGTTTTTGAGACATTATATATTTGTATCCTTTATTTTTTGGGAATAGAAATTTGTTGTATTAGAAAATGCAGGTATTGTGCTCAAGAAGAGGGACATACGAACATTTTATGAATCCTTGCGGTCATTTGAACATTTTTTTGGGACAAATTGAATACTAATTAATATCCTATCCCTTAAAATGCAAACACAAACAGACAAAAATAAAATATTGCATTTTGTAAAAATATTTCCTTTCTCCATTTGAACTGTACACGTATACCTAACAACAAAATTATTTTCATTAACCTGTGTTTAAAGTAATTGCAAATGGCTGATATTTTTGTTCAAGCATATTTTTTTCTTAAATTGTTTAACATTTCACAGCGGTATAACATGTTACTTTAATTATTCTTCCCTTAGTTTATTTATTTTGTATTTACATTGTATCATAGATCAAATTTATTTGTTCAGTGTATGTTCACTGGTGTTAATATGTCTTTTGATTGAGTTAAGCCATTTCAATTGATATTTTATAGTGTGTCTTTCTATGTTGTGATGTTACACTATTGTTTCAGATAAGGGTGAAGGTTTGGTACCATTAAAACGTTTAAACCCGCTGCAATTGTTTGAACTTGTCCTAAGTCAGGAATCTGATGTTCAGTAGTTGTCGTTTGTTGGTGTGGTTCATAAGTGTTTCTCGTTTCTAGTTTTTTATATAGATTAGACCGTTGGTTTTCCCGTTTGAATGGTTTTACACTAGTAATTTTTGGGGCCCTTTATAGCTTGCTGTTCGGTGTGAGCCAAGGCTCCGTGTTGAAGACCGTACTTTGACCTATAATGTTTACTTTTATAAATTTTGACTTGGATGGAGAGTTGTCTCATTGGCACTCATACCACATCTTCTTATATCTATAAACATAAAAGAAGAAACTCAACGGAAATGCCGGCTTATAAAGAAAGGAGCCCATCTAAAAAAAGAAAATATCTTTACATGCTTTAATAGGATATCCCATTTTTGCAGTTTTAAAAACTATCCCCAAAAGGATGAAGCTACCTCTATGTAAAGAAAAAATTGAAACGTTCCTCCTGAAATTTAATACTTCTAACATTTTGACACTTGAATTTTGCCAATACACTCTCTTTGTTTTTCAAAGTTTTATGATCCACAGACACAACAGTGAACAAGAGATTAATAAACATATGCATATTTGCAAAACCTAATCATGCATAGCAGGATATGCTTACCTTGTAGATGCACCAGATCAGGCTCCGTTTGGAATTCATGCGATTACTGAACCACGTTATTATCTTGTTTGTTTTTTTTTTTTCAAAATGTATTTTCGAGTTTTTTCAGCCAATAAACTTTGTAACTGAAGAAATCTTCCAGAGGCAAAGTTGACCTTTGATGTTTATCGCTGTTCTTTTTATAACCTTATTGGATCGATGCTCATAAATGTTTTATATCTTGAGCTTTCCGCGACATGTGCAATGTTGTTATTCTTTGACCTCAAACAAAATTTTTTAAATGAAACCCCTGTGTATTGGGCCATTCATTATTCCTCCCTTTTTTAAGCTTTAAAAAGGTGTTTGTGTTGATTTTTATTCTGCGTCATTTTGTTTTGACGTATCGGTGTTCTGTTGGTTTGTTTTCTTCATATCAACATATTCTCTTGCATAATTTGATATACCGTTGTTCTTTCCTCCCCTGCATGATTCAATATTTTTGTCCTGCAACACCATAACTGAAGTCTCTTCTAATGGACTGTAAATGTGTTATTTAAAAAAAAAATAAGTATCTAAAATAATTATAGGCAATAAAGTAATCATGCAGTTTTGAACATTAATGCCACACAGTTTTCGATATAAAGCAAACCTTTACGTTAAAGTAAAATAAAAATATCTTCATCTGGTTTTCTTAAGCTCAATTGTAATTATTCAAATTCCGATATCTTATCTATTAATAGTATTATCCTGTTCGTTTATCTGGCTGTATTGTAAAAATATATCATAGAGGAAATGAACAGGATTGAGTCTAAGTGTATGGACATAAGATATCCATTTTTTTTTCATCCACTGTTTTTTTAAACAGATTATCTGTTCATGATAGTGTTTTTCTTTTGTACTTTTGCATCATTAGCGTTTATTTTTTACAATTTTATGTCTGCCGTTAATTTGAAAGCATGTCTATGCTCTAATGATTTGCATTACTTTTGTCAATCAGTATCGGACATCAAGCGTAGGCGATAACATAAACCCTTTAATGTGATCACAAAAACTTTCATTAGAAGAGATAATAAGCTTTTTATTAAAAAAAACGGATTACTTTAATTCAGAAAGCCTCCACATAATTGTCCAGGAAATCTTTGGAGTTCTTTGTTGATTCCTAATTAAGTCTTTTTATAATTCAAACGAGTGAATAAGAACGAAATGTCAAATATAAATCCCTATTTACTCCTGTTAATACCGCACCGTTACACACCTACATAACATCTTTATTTACCCTCTGTCAATACCTAACAAACACCTACAACTAACTGAGATGTGTTACGGTTGCTGTCATAGCACTTAATTTGAAATAAAACTTTTTCTATTTCTTCTTCTTGACACATTTCATCCGTAGATTTTAAACTACTTCCGCTAATTGACGGAGAAGGGCTAGCCTTTTTCGTGCGTTGAAGTTTCCTTTCTTCTGCAACCTTGTCTTTTACAATTTTTTGCATTGATTTCTTCTTACAACTTCCGATAATTCCCAGAGGACCAACGGTTGTATAACTAGTTTCTGTTTGTCCATTTTTATGTACAAATTTGTACGAAAATCGTCGTGTCTTTCGGCTTTGTCTTGGAATCTTCTGACAACATGATTTTGCAAACGTCTGTTTTAAGGCTTGTCTGAATTTTAACGACATAATACTATATAGTATTGGATTAATTGTACAACTACAGAAGTAGCAGACCCCGGATGAATAAAAGAGTATCCGATAGACTCGTAATAAAAATGGCGACCACGATTCTATGTTTGATGTCACCAAACGCTCTACATGAAAAGGTGCCCAGCAGACAAAAAATCCGACAACCACTGCCACTGAAAAAGAGGAAAAAAGATTATAGTTGCAATCTTTGCTATGGACTATACCTTGATTTTATGGCATGTTTGTTTTTTTTTTATAATTTTCTCTCTTACAGTTCAACCTTCATCTAAACCATCAGATGTGTTGAAAATAATTCATATTCTGATAATGAAAGGTGAAATCTGTTATCTGATTACTCAGATTTTTATTTTTCTCCATCCCGGAATGAAAAGGAAGCTCTAATTTTTACATTAAACGTCAGTAGATTTGTTTGTGAATCTATTTTTATTGTAGTCTACAAGATGATTTTTTCTGTTGATATTTAAACAATCAAATCTAATTAATTTTCTTATACGGGTTTCACATTCCTATCGACTGATTGTTCACTTATTTGTCAAATGCGAAATCGGAATTAAAAGCCCTGAATCAATGTTAATCCTCCTTGCCCTAGTCACACACAACTGTCTCAAGCGTTAAAGAAAGTACATTCGGAAAATATTGTTCTTTTACATAGACAATGGCAATATATCCCGAAAAATTGGAGAGAGAATCATGCATCTTCAAATCAGGACTTAACTAACTTAACTTAGTAATTACCACCTAAAGAATATCCCTGCATGGTTTATTTCTTTGCAATGTATCTGTTCTTGAAAATAAAATCTTAATCTTATTTCATATAATGTTTAAATATAAACTTTGACCAACGTTAGCGGTCATTTTTTATTTCTAACCCAAAGTAACAATGAAAATGAACATATTTGTATAGTTGGTTCCAGTTGATTAACGGTTCTTGAGAAGTTGTTTAAAATTCAGCCAATCAGAAACTAAAAGAGACCAAGGCGGCCTAAAAACTGGGAATAGACCTGGAAAGAATCATTTCTGAGAAGTTTAGTTACATTCTATCTCTCAAGTATAAAATGAATAGGTGTAATGTTAACAGGCTTGGACGACAAAATACGGAAATGGGATCAGGTTAAAAAAAAATCGATATGATATTTGCTCTTTACGGTCACAAAATAATGTCTTTTAAGTCAAATATGTTACAGAACTGTAATACATGCATGGTGAGTCTTTTATATATTTGAACATGTCAGATACAGACTTTTAATTACTTAAAACCTTTACTAAATTCTTTCTTAGATAAAAAGATTTAGTTTGGAAGTTTGGCTGTACTTGTAGAAAACTTATTACAAACGGGATATAGATATAAGAAGATGTGGTATGAGTGCCAATGAGACAACTCTCCATCCAAGTCAAAATTTATAAAAGTAAACCAATATAGGTCAAAGTACGGTCTTCAACACGGAGCCTTGGCTCACACCGACCAGCAAGCTATAAAGGGCCCCAAAAATTACTAGTGTAAAACCATTCAAACGGGAAAACCAACGGTCTAATCTATATAAAAAACGAGAAACGAGAAACACTTATGAACCACATCAACAAACGACAACTACTGAACATCAGATTCCTGACTTAGGACAGATGCAAACAATTGCAGCGGGTTTAAACGTTTTAATGGTACCAAACCTTCACCCTTATCTGAAACAATAGTGTAACATCACAACATAGAAAGACACGCTATAAATTATCAATTGAAATGGCTTAACTCAATCAAAAGACATAGTAACACCAGTGAACATACACTGAACAAATAAATTTGATCTATGATACAATGTAAATACAAAATAAATAAACTAAGGGAAGAATAATTAAAGTAACATGTTATACCGCTGTGAAATGTTAAACAATTTGAGAAAAACAATATGCTTGAACAAAAATATCAGCCATTTGCAATTACTTTAAACACAAGTAAATGAAAATAATTTTGTTGTTAGGTATACGTGTACAGTTCAAATGGAGAAAGGAAATATTTATTTTTACGGCGATATTGTTTACCGAGCCCGTACATTTAGATACGATACGGGTAAACTTATCGATCCTTTAAATAAACTTATTCTAAAAGGTTATCAATCAACACTGTTATTTGATCTTTGAATAATGTTTTTATCGATATAAATATTGATTTTTGTTATTAATAAATTAAAACCAACTAAATATTATTGTTATACACATATATACGTTCACGGTCCGACAATCTATCCATACCTATATTTTGACATTGCACAATGTCATGTTTTTCTATGATCGTTAATGACGTCTTTACATTAAATCCATTTGAAAATGGATGTGTACTGATTGATATTTAACTAGCTTTTGAACTAGCTTTTAGTAACTGCGAAAACTCTCAGATCTGTACTTTTTGTCTTTTGTGTTTTGTTAGTTGTTTTTTTTTCGCTGTGTATCGATCCGATGAGTTAATTCCTTTTCAAATGATTTTTTAAGCTTGTTCTAATGTAGTGCTGTTACACAACTGTCCCAATTTATGGGAGGGTTGGCGCGTCCGCAAACATGTTTTACCCCGCTACATTCTGTATATGCCTGTCCCAAGTCAGGAGCCTGTAGTTCAGTGAATGTCGTTTGATGCTGTTTATCATATCTGTTTTTCGTTTATTGTTTTTTTACATAAATCACATAGTTAGTTTCTCGTCTGAATTTTTTAACATTTGTCATTTTGGGGTCTTGTATGACTTGCTGTGTGGTATGGGTTTGCTCATTGTTGAAGGCAGTACGATTACCTATAGTTGCTAAAATGCTACGTCATTTGATTTCTGATGGAGAGTTGTCTCATTGGCAATCATATCACAATTTCTTATTTTTTTGTTTAATGTTTAATTGTTAATATGATTAGAAGAGATACTCTCACCGATATTCATCCAATAGGCAAATAAGCTAAGTATAAGTAATGAAAAGGGAAATCAAGGCACCTAAGGCAGGTGATCAGCTGCATTAAACATGAATTAAAAAAAAAAAGTGAGCACAGCATATGTCGAGAGCAAAAGTTTAGAAAGCCAAAAATACAATTTGAGGTAAATAAATTTTGCCTTATCGTGCTCGTATTTTAATTTTGCAATCTGTACTGTTGTTGTCTCAATGAGTGCTTCTATTTTCTCCTATCGATTTATTTTTCTTTGCAAAATGATTGCTCTAAATAAACCCAATTATAACATTTTAATTCGCTAAGGTAGTTATTCTCACTAAAGGGACGATTGTCATTTCACTGCCAACAAAAGGCGCTTCTGTCAGCTTTAACTTAGCGATTATATTGCAGTTTCGATCAGTTTCGTAAGAAAAATTGAATTTACATGAAAATTATTTGATAACGTTTTTCTTCCCGGCAGCTTGTGCAGAAACTTAAAACAAATTGCATGTTTATCAATTTTACAAGCCCAGACTGCCTTAAAGGAGTCAACAGTTTAAAACAAATTAGATGAACGCTTGGCCGAAAAGTGCGTAAATTGCCTTATCCAAAGTGACTTATTTCTTACTTAGCCTTCACATTAAATTATCTGGATTAAAAAAGTGTCAGTCCTCAACATGTGTAAATTGAGTCATACATGCGGTAATGGCATCCAACCGGAATCAATAATTCATCGATGCCGAAAGCTGGTTGTTATAACCACAAATGTGGTAGAACCGTATGAAAAGGATGCCTGCACATCACAATGTGCAGTGGCTGTGGTAATAATCAGCCACAAACAGAATAGGCAAACAGAATAGTTATGCTTTTATCTTAATTCATAATGCTTTCGATGTTTCATAATAATGGCAGTTTAAACTTTCACTCAGTAATAAAAAATACATGCGAAAAAACACAATTCTGAACTGTTTTATAAAGATCCTTAATTTTGATGGCACATTTGCGTTAAAGAACCAAAAATTATCTAAATATACTGCGAAGATTTAGTTATGTTTTCTTTTTTTGGACGGCGTTGATCCTTTGGTTCCTTCTTACTGTGTGTATATTTCCCAACTCCGTTTGCTATACCCCTGTAGTGACGTTTTAGATTTCAATGGACATAAGCTATATATAACTGATACATAATTAAGTTAGGGACAAGGCTACCACGAAAATATAGAAATAGTCGGTACCTACTCATATCTTGGTCTAATATTTAAATGTAATGAAAATTTTTTAGAAGCAAAGAAAATACTTATTAACCAAGCACAAAAAGCATTATACAGCTTGTATAGAAATATAAGAAACCAAGTCATTCCATTGGACCTACAGCTCATACATTTTGATGCAATGGTAGAGCCTATTTCATTATATTGTTGTGAGATTTGGGGGTTAGAAAACTTGAAAAGTTTAGAACAAATTCACTTAGATTTTGTAAACGAATTTTAAAAGTAAGGTCTATTAGAAATAAAAGTTAAAATAAGAATGCTATCATTTTGGAGATAAATATTGCATGGTGAAAAATTAAGTGGTAATAGTAGAGATTATTACTTTGTTTAAAGCAAAATAGCAGTCAGTCCTTCAAATGGTTGAATTTTATTGAATCAATATTTAATGATACAGGATTAGGATATGTATTTGTCAATCAAAATAGTTCTGACTATAAAGATCTGATAAAACAGGATATATTCAAAAATGGCATCAAGATGTTCAATTATCTTCCCGTGGTGTATTTTATTCAAGTTTAATGAACTTTTTAGTTTTGAAAGTTATTTAATAAAGATGCCGGAAAATGCAAGAATATGGGTTAACAAAACGGAAAAGATCTAACTTAAAAATTCCCATTGAAACTGGGCGTCGGCATAATATTCCTGCGGAGGACCTAAAATGTAAGGAGACGAATTTCACCATCTTTTTATATGTAAGTCTCCTCAACTGGTTAATATTAGAGAAAATGTATTCCTATTTATTATACGAAGTATCCACGTAAACAGAAGTTAGCAGTCATGTTATCTTATTGCAATGTTAAATTATATAGACAGGTGGCATCTTTTATTAGAAACCTAAATAACTTATTGTGATATGTATAATGTTTTGTATATATTTTTCACTGACTGTTTATTGTATAATAATTCATATTTATTATTGTATATTTACCTTATGTTACACATATATGTGTCTGAGCGTTGCTTTATAGTAAAATCTTGAAGTCTTGAAATCATAAGATTTTTAACAGTTGTCGAATTACTTATAACCTCTAAATTATTATTTCATATGTACAAATGTTTGGGTTGAAAGTTTGGTTGTACCCGTAGAAGTATAAGAACACACGGAATATTAAATCCTTTACTTTTTACGGTATAGTGTTTATAAAGCTCTTAAATTAAGATACGATCCAAATAAGCTTATTGGTCCTTTGCACCTTGTCTTAAAGGTTATCAATTAAACATCGTAGCATGATCTTCGATTATTGTCTACATTTTTATTAGAACTAATTCTATTTTTAATAGTTTAGTACATAGTAAAACATATATTGCTATCAAATTATTAACGCTTATGGTCCTACAGTCTGTCGATATTTATATTTTGACATTGCACTAAGTCATGCTAAGTCTGCTTACGACGTCTTAACACTAATTGTTGGAGGTGAACTAATTTGATATTTTAGTCTGGTAGAACATATGTTATTCATTACTTGAAATCGGGTTTTGAACTAGCTTTGAGTAACTACGAGTTTATTCTTATGTTGTGTTGTCAAAGGTGGGGATTGGTTGAGACCTCACAAACATGTTTAAACCTGCCATATTCTTTATGTGCCTATATCCCAAGTAGAATGCCAGTGGTTGTTGTCGTTTGCTGTCTGACACTTGTGTTTTTCGTTTATTGTTGTAGTATAAATAAGGCCGTTCATTATCCACTCCTTTTAAATGTTTCCTATTTTGACAGCCGGGACTTATATATCTTGCCATACTTTCTATACGGTATGGATTTTATTCATTGCTGAAAGCCGTACGGTGACCTGTTATTATTTCCTAATTGGTTTTTTGGTCATTAATGGATAATTGTATCATTAGTAGTCATACCACATCTTCTTATTTTCATATTCTGTATATCATTGGTTGACGCCATATCAGCTTGAAAGCTGTGTTTTCCACACATTTACGTCAGACTATTATAAATCACATGCAGGCCTCTTCCTTTTATGACAATGACCAACTAACACAGAGAAACTTTGTTCGTCGATAATGATAGCATATGCTGTTATGATGTATTACTTGAATTGTAATTCTTAAATCATTACCAGCAGCAAATACCAAGTAGCAAATACCAAGGCCTAAACATAAAGCTCAACTATTAGGTGTACTTTTTGCTTTTTTTTCATACTCATACTGTTTTTGTAAGTATTTAACATTCACGGTTACCTGCAGGCGTTTGATGGAGCAAGTGAAAATGCTGCGTAAATATCCTCGAAACTTTTTATTGGATCGTGGGTGGACAGGAGGATATTAATTAATATAGTGAAACAGAAGAACAAGTGCTCAACAGTAGCTTCAGAAATAGGTCCTTCATAAGAGCACGGGTACGAAACGAGATTTTTTAAAAATATGTGTATATATATACAAAATACAATATAAATATTTCCAAAAAATCTCGTCTCGCCTCGTACCTATGCATACGAGTGGTCACTTGAGATCTGTATCTACGAAGACCGCGGGCTTTCGATTGAACTTCTCCAATCAGACCTGACGTAACTACATATCAAACTTCCCTCACCCCTTCAGCAAGAAGAATCAAAGATGACCATACCTTTAAACCATTGCTTTGACTGTGGTGGAAAAGAAAGTGTATTACTTAAAAGATGTAATCCATTTGATCGGCATTGGATTGTTTGAAGGTGATCATGATTCCACGAAACTGCATAAAAATAAATGTATCAAAGCTACAATATTGAATTCAAGGCTAGTTGAATTCTACTAAAAACCGCATTTGAAATAATTTTGAAGTTTAGAATTGGTATGTAATTACTAAGAAATTCTGTTATTGTCATCTTTCGTGACGTTATATGTTCCAAATTGGTACCATCACTTAAACATTGCATGCTTTCTTCCTGTTATGTATATTATACTATGTTTTTTTTTTTTAGTCTGAAATCATATAAGTTGATTTATATGACAATAACGTTTAAATTAAACTAAAATATTAGACACACAAGTTCGTTGTATTTTCTAAAAGCATAATCTTTGTGTCCACCAGCACCTTCCAAAGCTAAGCTTGTTTACAATTTTTCATAATTAGGGTAAATGATTATCAAGTCAAGGCAAATCTAAATACAATCAATTAAACTCAACGTGAACAGGATTATTATGAAGCAACGGAATTTCTGGCAGATATCTGTACGTACTGGGGAGCTGTCGTGAATATAAACAGTTAATTGTATATATTACCTAACATCTTTATAACAGATTTTCTGGCCCTTGATTGTTGTTTGACGTGAAGATCAATTCCCCTAACATGTTCTCTACTTGATGAATCTGCTGATGATCGACGCATAGATGACCTCCGAATAGCTAAAGCAATCAAAGTATATAATATACTGATGAAAGTCATTGGAAATAAGAAAAATATTACAGATGAAACAAGAAAGGTTTCTTTGATCGTCTTTTTGTTAGTACACATCGCTGATTCTTTTATAGTCTTGTTGTTGTCGTCCTGAATGTATACAACTCCATACTGAATAGTCTGGGGAATAGATAATATTGATGCTATGATCCATGTGCTGAAAATGACTCGCACAGCGCGGTGTAAACTAGACATTTTCTGAGCTTTCATTGGGTGACAGATAGCAACATAACGTTCAACCGTGAAGGCAGAAATTGTCAGTATTGAAGTATAAGTTGATAGTTCTCCAAATAGAGCTCGCAAAATGCAAACAGTTTCACCAAATACCCACGGATACAAGTTCCATATTGTATACAGTTCTGATGGTAGTCCAGCACATAATAGTAATAGGTCTGCGACAGCAAGATTGAATAAATAATAATTTGTTGCTGTGTGCATGAATTTGTTTCTAGCTATGACAATACATGTGAACACGTTGCCTAAAAGGCCTGTTAGAAATATGATAGTGTATATAATTGTAATAGGTATAACTATGGACAAATCATCTCGACTTGGAAACATTTTATCTTCCAGATATTGCCATACATCTTCATCTTTTGGTTTTCTAGTACCCGAAGTATTTTTCAGGAGAAATTTAAGAATTTCCTTAAATCCATTATGTCTATAGTGGGAACAGTTGAGACCACCCGATGAAATACTTCCGTTTTTAAAGAGATTTATGCACGAAAGTAAATCTGGTCGAGCCATATCATTCAAGCTTATGCAGACAAATAATTAACTTCTAAATATTTCTTTCGTGTTCGATTCTACATTGTATTTATCACTAATTCACGAATGAAACTTTCACAAATGACCGCCTTGTTGAATTCAAATTATTCAAATTCTGTGTCAAATAATTGAGATTTAGGTTAGTGCATCTGTCATACCATCCATCCCATTTCCTGTTAATTTACCTGAAAAAGATAAAATTTTACCTAAATAATGTTGATAAGGTGCGATTCTAATTTAGATTAATCTCAACAGTTTGAAACATTTGTCATTTACGACATATCTATGATGAACCATCGTGATAAAAGCTTTGTTATGTATCGATAGTCTGAAGTTAAGTATTCTTAACGATCCTGGAACTAGTTAAGCATGTGATTATTTGCCAATGACTGTCAATATCAAGAGGTTAAATTATGCTTGACAAAATCTCCACCAGTAGAGTACAAGCCATCTTTAACATGCTTATGAAGATTACTGTCACATTTATCGAATGAAAATATGGAATTTTTTTAGCTCTTTTCAGCGATAGCACAATGATTTGTAAGCATTGTATTATCACTTTCTCTGGGAAATCTGGAAGTTAAAAAATTTGGAAATGCAGAAAAACCAAAAGTTTCATTATGGTGTTGGTATAATTCCCATTTTATATCATTTGCTTGATCAATTTTAGGTTTTGGCAATGCCAAATTTTGTTCTATATAAGCCTTAAAAATATTTGCTTTACGTTTAAACGTTGCTATTCTCACTATTGTATAATACTAGCTAACCTGAAATTTATAATCCATTTTTAAAATTACACTTCACGTTAAAATGACAGATTTTGATTGGTTAATACGAGGGAGACATTTTACTTTATTATACTTCACGTTAAATGGCAGACTTTGATTGGCTAATATGAAGGAGATAATTTCCTCAATCCTATGGCTCAGTTGGAGTCATTTTTTCAATGTCACCCTCTCGTGCAGACCAATCAAAAATCAATGAAAGCCGATGAATTGAATTTGCATCAACAATTTTAAAGACAATGCTCATGTTCTACGTTTCGGCCTCAGGTATTTTTCATAAAGTGTCAACATACAACCACAATACATCTTGCTGCACTACTGTTAGTTTTCTAATGACTGTAACGTTGTTATGTACATGAAGTCATAGTTCGTTACTTTCAATCTAAAATTTAACAGACAATAATGACAGAACACAATTGAAATCAAATTTATGGGAAATTTGTAATATGTCAAAAAATGTCTTTAGCAGTAATGTTTGTATACGCCCGAAAACCTTTTAATTGAATGAATATATGTAAAACAGATAACATGTATCACTAGTTTATTATTTAATACTTTACATTTGTGATATCCATGTTCAACAGTGTTAAATCAACCATCGGAATCTAAAACAAATTCTGGGTAAATTTGCCATATTTCCTTAAATATTTATCAAAGTTCATTTTTCTTAATCTCTTTCTATATATCTCTCTCCTTTAATTTGTCCTTGTCTGGATATATCCTTTACCTGGTACCATACGTTCATCAAGTGTAAAATATAGTTATGGAACGAGTGCTACAGCAGATAACATCAGGTACAAACTATTTTAATTAACCTCTTTGGTAAAATAGTTGCTTTGAAGTAAAGATGAAATGCATCAATAAAAACAGTACTTATCATCACCTAAAACTTAATTTACACTTCAATAAACTTGTGAAATTTGGCTTTGTCCTTGGACCATTTTTGAAGTCTTGAACTAAGAATATGTTTTATGTCATTATTATTAGATTTAAGACACTCAGTCAGCTGATGAACTCGAAAGTATATTAAAATTTGCCATAAAGCACATTAGGCCTGCTACAAGCCCTTCAACATCATTTGGTCTTTAATCAAGTTCGAGTGGAAATGTCTTCGTGCGTTGCAATATAATAAATTGTCTTATTAACCAATAACTTCCGTTTTCATCCGTATTTCCATATGCTGTGATATCCAAAACTGCGATAAGGATATATTTATACCAACTAGTCATTTGACAAAAAAGCTAATACCTGTAGACTTATCCAAGAATGCTAAAAAAAAAGAGACTAACGAGCAAACCTAGATTTCAGTTACTCTTAGATCGGTGCTTTGTGTCTTTTGCTTTTATGTTAGTTGTTTGTTCTGTGCTTCGTGTCGATATGACGAGTAAAGCCAATTTCCAACTTATTTTTACAGTTTATTCTTATGTTTTATTGTTACACCACTGTCCCAGGTTATAGAGAGTATTGAGCGCTAACAAACATTCGTAACCCCGCCACATATGTGCCTGTACTAAGTCAGGAAGCTGTAATTCAGTGGTCCGTTTCATTTGAACTCTTTTTGAAAGTTGTCTCATTGGCAATCATACCACATTTCCTTATTTCATACTAATACCTGTCGACTTACATCCGAATGAATAAAAAAGATACTTACAAACAAACATAATACCTGTCCACTTATCTCCGAATGAATAAGATATAGACTTAGATATCTGCCATCAACACCAATGTTCCTATAGAATATTCATTTGGTAGACATTTCAAAATCTACAGCAGTTAATGGGATAGATAAGCATTATATTACAGGAGATGGGTCATAAAGTACAACTTTAACACTTATTTGTTTTGAACCACTTTTTTAAAGATAACAATACGACACAAATATCTTATGCAAGCATAACAAATGTTTTTTTAATACCACATCGGTTCGAATTTTAGTATTTACGGATACAAGTCGACTTTGACCTTAAAATCTTTCTTGAGTCAGTAGAAATGGCAAATTAACAATTTCACCACCAACGTAATCCTTAATTATTTTTTTTTAATTCTTTTTTCAATACTATTTAAAGGACTCATGATATGTGAAGTTTTATTTTCTTAAATGTTATCTATGCAGAATACCAAACAAAAATATAACATTATTTCAATGGCCTAACACTTTAGTATTTGGCAAATTGTTACAAATCCCGTTTTCCTAATCCCCCCCTTAATAGGTTTAAAAAATCGAGTTTGTTTTCAGTTAGTTTTATAAACATTGACAAACAATAAACTTCACGATCCTGGATTTTCTGTATATTTTTTTTAGGTAAACGATCAAATTATAGATATATTCAAAATGCAAAGAATTTATTGACAATATTTTTATACATTTATTTTTCTTTACCTTCCATTATAACATTTAAAGATACATATCCTTAAATATTTACGCCCGTAATAACATTCGACATCATTCTAGCAAATCAGATGGAAACCGCAGACACATATTTTACGGGGTGTATGTCCCTATAATCCTTAAGATCAAAACCACATATTTCTTTCATTTTTTTTTTAAAAACGTGCAAAAAAATACATGAATTTACACACTAGTGTCGACTTGCACTTTATTGGTTAGCTTGTCAACTACAGCAAAAGGAGCAACACAATTTTGTCTGTTACATTTTGGGAAAGTACAACAAGCTACCGAGTAAATATTAAATGTTTAATAAAAAAACAACGGAAATGATAAATCAAAGCATCAAAACAATCAGCCTCAACAAAAATAATACTTTGGAGAAAAAAGAGGCAGATGATACTTCAAAGTAAAAGTGGTATCTGTTGGAACCTGCGTTGGCTTTTCTTTACCCAAGTGCAACCGGAAACGTTTGAACAACCTGGTATCGATCTATTGTTATTTCATATCGGTTAAAAATTAGCTTCTCTTATTGGATAACAAGGGACCACATGACATTCTTTATTCTTATTGAAAATTTCCATCGGTTTTTAACATCAACAAGAGGCTCATGAGAGCCTGGTATCGCTCACCTGGCTGTAATTTCAGTTTCAGGCATTTGACTCATTTGCAGATCTTACTTTGCTGAACAATTTTGTCATTTACACTTTCTCTCTTTTTATAATAATAATATTAAAGATAATGCATAACCCAAAACTGTACAATTTCCTAAAAATTCCCGAATACAATCTACAAACTAGATACCATTAGGAACATTCAATTAAAGTTTTTAAGTATTTGGCAAAGCAGTTTCAGAGAAGAAGATTTTTTAAAAAATAATTGGACGTTCACAAAAAATGTAAAAAAATCAGTTTTAAGGGCAATAACTCCTCAAGGGGTCAACTGACTATTTTGATCATGTTGACTTACTTGCAGATCTTACTTAGCTCAACATTTATTGCCATCTATACTTTCTCTCTATCTATAACAATATTAAAGAAAATAACCAAAAACAGTAAAACTTAAAAAAAATAAACTATTTCAACAGTAACCTAACAATGGGTTGTCGAACTCGTCTGAAAATTTCATCACAGATAGATCATGACCCATTTATCACTTAAACTCACTTTCACTTTTGATCTAACTGCTGTAGTTTTCGAGATATAAGCCAAAACCTGCTTTTGTCCCCTATGTTCTATTTTGAGCCATAGCGGCCATGTTTGTTAATGGATCAAAACTTCGGATACAATTTATAAACCAGTTACCCTAAGGAACATTCAGTTAAAGTTTAGAAGTATAAGGCCCAGTAGTTTCAGAAGAGAAGATTCTTGTAATAATTTACGACGACAACGACAGACGACGACGACGACTGACGACGGACGACGACGGACGCCAAGTGATGGCATAAGCTCACATGGGGCCCTTCGGGCCCCGGTGAGCTAAAAAACGGACCAGAAAACCGGTCTACATGTTAATGACCAGCTCTGTTTAGAGTGATGTCCCTTTAATAAAACGCAATCGCGATTCAGACGTTTGGAACATGGCTGAACTGGAAGGCACGTCTGCTACAGACAACTCAAATGATCGTTTTGCCGTACGTTCCGATGCTGCTAGAGACAAACTACTCAGCTAAAAGAACTATAAAATTTTATTACATTGGTAGCAATGAATTACATTGATTTCCCAGTCAAATAAAAACCGATAATTTCACATGTGAAATAAACGTGGTTATTTCACTCTCTGACGTCATACAACAATAGGCGTTGTCAAGACGTCGATAACGTCGGATCAAAACAAATTGTGAATGCGTAGAAAAAAGATATAGTTCCTTACATTTTCTACATTAATTTCATTAAAAAAAAGCCCTTTGCCAATGTAATAAAAAGAATAACTAATCAAAGAATTCAAATATCGAAAAATATTCAACTCGTGACCGAACAACACTGATAATTAACTCATGCGCTACGCGCATTCG